TTTTTTTTAAACATAAGAACAAAACTTTGTCCCTGATGTTGTTAACTTTAAATATTTGGTTTAAACAGTTGTTAAAGATTGTCAGGACTTCTTGGGTCTGCCTTCTCAACCAGGATGTTTTCCTGCTATCTTCCTGCGACCTGTCACTTAGGTAAGCATGTCACATATGTCTTTATCCAAGTCACTAACTATAGTTCCGAGTAGCACGGAGTCAAGAATGAAGCCCTTCTACACACTTCTTGAGACTTTTCACGTGGCGGCAATGATTCATTTGTCAGCATTCTTTGGATACGAGTGTGCAGTTGAAAATCCACCAAGCTGGATAGTCTAAATTAATCATGGTTGACAATTTCTGAGTTGCAGAATCCTTTGCTTAAGTGAAATGTTACACAGAAGAGCTCTAACATACAAAAGAGCTCTGGCTGAAGCAGAGATAAGGGGTAGGGTGTTCTAGGAACTGCTTTTCTCCACCCTTGTGATAGGGTTCTGTGGACCATGATCTGAAAACCATGTTTTCCACCCAGATTTGTGGCCTTCTATCTGAACGTATCACTTCTTAACATGTTGTAGTCCTACACTTACTATTCAAAGGGTTTATTGTAAATATGTTGTGATCTTTTCAACATATTTACAATAAGGACCTCAGACAAAGATGGTAAAAAGTAGACTTTCAGTTTTCATGATTTTGGACTCAAAGGATTCCCAAGCACAAAAGGAATGTCTGTGATCACAGTAGGATGCACAATCTGAGGTTAAGGAATTTACTCCCCACAGACACCGAAGTGCACACCAGCTCTGTTACTATAATTGCCCATTCCTCAACAATTTCAACTCAGTCTGTTGGAATAATTGTTTACATAGAATGCCTCTTGGATTTGAAGCACTTATTTTCCATTTTAAGTAAACTTAGTTTTTATAATTAATAGACTTTTTAGTGCAGTTTTAGATTTATCAAATAAATGAGCAGATAGTACATAGAGCTCCATATACCCACCTCGTCCACCAGTCCCCATTTAATTAATTTTTAATTACAGAAATAATACATAAATACATTATTCTTATTGAATATAATTAAGACAAAATTAGCCTGGGTTTTCCCTCCCCTCCCCAGTAACCACTGTTATCAGTTTGGTGTGTTTTCTTCTAAGAGTTTTCCTGTGATATGTTAACATATATATGTATCCTAGAAGGTGATGATGATTATTATTTTAAAGCCAGTTGGCATACTGAATGTCTTGGTCTGCAGTTTGCTTTCTGCTAATTACCAATGTGTTTAGAAGATTCTTCCATGTGAGTTTATTTAACTGTCCACCAACAGGTGGACATTCGTGCTGTTTCCATTCTTTTGCTGTTATCAATGATGCACGATAACAATCTTTGTAAACAACATGTTGCTTGTGCTTGTGTTTCTTTGACATGTGGAATTGCTGGGTAATAAGATTGGTGTGTTTTAAGAAGTGGATGCTGTAAAATTATCCTCTAAAATGTCTTTACCAACTTATATGTTCACTTATATGTTCACCAGCAGGTAATCAGAGTGTCCCCTTTTCCTACACATTTACCAACGCTTGATACTGGCAGACTTTAATATTTTCCCAACCTAATGGGGGAAATGATTTCTTATTTTAATTTGCATTTCTCTAATTACCAGTGATGTTGAACATCTTTTCATATGTTTACTGGGTGTTTGTATTTTCTCATGTTTCTTTTCTTTTTAAAATGGAGATTAACAGGAAATAAGGATTTAATGTGGAGTCTTTATTTGGCAGCTGCTTTTCTTGAATGTGTCTATTCTGGCCATTGAGGAATAGCTGAAGTGAATAAAAATTTTAAAAAGCAGTTCATATCATTAGCATGGCAAATTTGACCCAGGCTCCAATTGTCATTGAAATGTTTGGTGGTGAAGTTTGATGACGTTACCTTCATTACTTACTTACCTTCATTGAAATGATGTATAAAATCGAGAGCATGTTTAATCATTTTTCTCATTTGATCCAAGATATCAGCTCTCAGAACCCCTTGAGGCTGAGGACCAACTTCTATACCTAGGTATAGAAGGTGAGAGAGTCACATTTATATCAGTATTAAAATATATTATAAAACTAAGCATTTTAATGTATCAAAATGTAGAATTGTGTTATTAAAAATTATGAAAAAGGCAAACCATGTAGCATTATGGAAAATATTTGAGACATAATATTTGAGGCAAAATATAAAGCTGAACATCTACATGTTCAAGTTAGATGCACAGTGAATAAAGACTGGGAAAGAACGTGGAAAAAATCAGTGATGTTAGAAATAGGAAACTCTTGTGGTCTTTTTTCTTTAAATTTCCTTCAGTATTGCTAAAATATTTAAAAGTCATAACATAGTAAAAGAGGTGAACAAGTTTATGCTGACAAAATAATAGGTGGACCTGAAGAGAAACTGTTAAGATCTAACATTGAGCTGTGACGGGAGGAAGGACATCTATTTTTATAGGTTTCACAGAAATCCAGACTAGATGAATCATGGATTTCAGTCAATATGACAATCTATGTGGCCCTGGAGCAACTATTTTGCCCTTAACATAACAATCCATCCTAACACAATAGTGCAATGGATTTAATTTTTTTTTTTTTTTTTCCGAGGCAGAGTCTCACTCTTACCCAGGCTGGAGTGCAATGGTGTGATTTCTGCTCACCGCAACCTCTGCCCCCCAGGTTCAAGCGATTCTCCTGCCTCAGCCTCCGGAGTAGCTGGGGTTACAGGCATGCGCCACCATTCCCAGCTTATTTTTGTATTTTTAGTAGAGACAAGGTTTCACCATGTTGGTCAGGCTGGTCTCAAACTCCTGACCACAGGTGATCTGCCCTTCTCGGCTTCCCCAAGTGCTGGGATTATGGGCATGAGCCATTGTGCTCGGCCTGGTTTTAATTTTATGCAAGAAAAACTTGTGTTCATTTCTTTTAACTCATATGAAATGATGCCTGTACTATTCGGTCTACTTTGTATGGCTGTTAAGCATCCATCCTTATACCTACAAAACACCCTTTAAACTACTTTTGTAGACCCTTCCTTCCTGTTCAAGTCTCCCACAAAGTCATCTCCCTAGTCACCACCTTCTCCATTTGTCAAACCATTTACCAACTGCACCCTCATTCTCTTCCACCCATTAACATACTGCGTTCTTTTACACTTATCTTGTTTTCACCCGCTTCTGTTATTTGCCACTACACAAAATCTTATCATATTCTCTTGCATCATTTTTTATTTGTTGTGCTTAGGTTTCTTGAATATATGCATGAACATATATTTAAGTATATGGTGTCGTAAATGTGGCTAAGGTATGCATCTGAGAATAAATGATGTATACAAACGTGAAAAAGTGTGTTTGTAGATATGTCTGTAGGAATACTATAGAATACATTGTTGTTTGCCTACCCCAAATCCATTTCACCTTCCTCCTTTTTCTAATAGAATCCTGATTTTAGTTGGGCTTCCAATCTTCCAGGTAGGTAAATTTTTCTCCAGTTCAAGAGTAAATGTTGAATAGTTTAAGTCAATCATAGTAATCCCCTAGTCAATGATTTAAGAATAAAGGAATCCTTATTATAATGTACAAAAGTATCAATACTTGAAGTAAGGAATTGGAGTAAGCTAAATATCCAAATATAGGCAATTAGCTGAAACGAATCAAAGGCTTAGCAATAAGAGATACAGATCCTGTTTCTCTGTGACACCAAATAAAAGCTTAAGATTTCCTAACTTTCAAATATCAATCTTGGGCTATGATATTTGTAGGCAATGCTACTCTTAGCCAGAACAAACATCTGCTCGTATGTTTGGCCCTTACGAGTTGAGCCAACTCTTTAAAATATTTCAATAGGAGGGAATATTAAGCTCATTGTAAATAATTAGAAATGTTATATGTTCTCCTTCCAACTTTGCTGTTTTATTGGGAATATTTTTATATCATGCACTCATTGGAAAAAAGCATGTTTAACATTAGAGAGGCAGTCTTTCTGAGTCAACATTTTATAATATGCTAAGAATATTACTGCATACAAATTTTGCTTTAACTTCTAGTAGGCACCTACAAGGACCACCTTTGTACTCTGTTCCCAAGGCAGAAGAAATATGACAGGATCATTCTAGGTAAACCTTATTCTGGAAAGAAGCAGTTTGCTGCAGCCACTCTTATGATCATCCAAACACACACACACACACACACACACACACACACACACACACACACAAATACGGGCGAGTGACTGGATACAGCTTTCTCCTAACTTTCTCAGATTAACCGTGGTCTCATTTGAGACTTAGAAAAGTTATTTGTATAATTATTGTTCATTCAGCTCCACCCTGACTGCCGTAGCCATGTCCTACAATCTAAATATTCTGCTCTGCTCTGAGATCTTGCATCGAAAAGTTAATTTTTGGTTCGGACAATAGGACCACCAAAGATGGCCATATAAAGTTCCCCTTATTATGCACAGAGTATCAATACTTGAATATCCAGAATAAGTTTAGATTTTTATTTATTTATATTGTTTGCCAACCTGCTTTTAAATTAAATTACTCTTGGCTAAACCATCTGAGATTTAACAAAAAATATTTTCAGTTGTAATTTTAATTGTAGCGTAGTCTGCCAATAATTATGCTAATGGGATGCTCAGGAAAGAGAATGGAATAGAGAAGAAAGAGGGTGTTTGGGAGGGTATATGGGAGTGTGGGGCTGCATGCTGGAAGTTACCAGAAGGTAAAGATGAAGTCACAGCCTAGTAACTGGCAGGATAAACAAGTGAATAGATGACAAACAGCTAGTGAAACGTCTATTGCAAAGCAGGTGGTAAGAGGGATGTGGAGAGAGGATTCGTCATGGATCTTTTGCATTTCTGCAACTCTCGTGAGCAAGACATGGACTATTTTTGTTCCAGATGATCTTTTCAAGGATGTCTGTATAGTGAACAGCCTTGGAAGTTAGGGATGGGGTCTTCCTTGGGGCAAAGGACACTCGTGCCTACTGCCCATTATAAAAATGAAGGTTCGCAGCTGGACGTGGTGGCTCACGCCTGTAATCCCAGCACTTCGGGAGGCCGAGGCGGGTAGATCACTTGAGGTCAGAAGTTCGAGACCAGCCTGGCCAACATGGTGAAACCCTGTCTCTACTAAAAATGCAAAAAATTTGCTGGGTTTGGTGGTGGGCACCTGTAATCCCAGCTACTTGGGAGGATGAGTCAGAAGAATCGCTTAAACCCAGGAGGCAGAGGTTGTAGTGAGCCGAGATCACGCCACTGCACTCCAGCCTGGGCAACAAGAGTGAAACTCTGTCTCCAAAAAAAAAAAAAGAAGGTTCCCTCAGCTCAGGGTTTCTCTCCTAGAATGCAACCACTGGCATGGATAGCTGCCGTCTGGCTCTCTACATGTCACCCTGTGGGAACTGGAGCTTGGGGAATGGTGCAGAAATGCTGACACTCTGCTCTTACTACTGTCAGTAATCTATCCTTTGTCTCTGTTGTAGGAGTCTTGTGTCTTCTACTGGCATCCACTCAGAGGTGCTAGGCTAATGGTTAGCTTGTAAGACGGGTCTTGATAAGGAGAGGGTCGGAAAACAACCTGGAGTAGGTCACTGGTGGCACAAAGTACTTTGGAGAAACAGCTCCCTTGCCTTTCTGATCCAGTCAAATCCGACCACTCCGGACAAGCTCATGAATGTACGTATTACCAGTGTAGGATGGCTAGTATTATTTTTGTTTTTGTTTTTTTGAGATGGAGTTTCACTTTTGTTGCCCGAGCTGGAGTGTAACGGCACGATCTCGGCTCACTGCAGCCTCCACCTCTGAAGTTTCAGCCATTCTCTGGTTGGCTAATATTTTATACATGGTTATAGTTACAGAACCTGTGTGGGAAGGAATGGGTAAGTTTGTATGAGTCTGTGTGGGATATGTGTGATTAAAACTGTGAATGAGGTACAGGCGTGATGGCTCATGCTTGTAATCCCAGCACTTTGGGAGGCCAACGTGGGAGGATCGCTTGAGTCAGGAGTTTGAGACCAGCCTGGGCATCATGCCGAGATCCTGTCTCTACAAAAAATGAAAAATTAGCCGAATGTGGTGGCACGTGCCTGTAGTTTGAGCTACTCAGGAGGCCGAGATGGGAGGATTGCCTGAGCCCAGGAGGTCAAGGCTGCAGTGAACTGTGATCGTGCCACTGCACTCAGCCTGGGCAACAGAGTGAGAACCTTTCCCAGAAAAAACAACAACAACAACAACAGCAACAACAACAACTACTGTGAATGATGATCGTGTGTGTGTGTGTGTGTGTGTGTGTGTGTAATTATGTACTTACTGGTAATTTGAGCTAATATTTAATAAGCATATATTATTAGCCCACAGAAGCGGGTAGGGAACAGAGAGTACTAAGATAAATGGAGAACACAGTGTATCAAGCATGGCATGTCATCAATTAGGGGTTTGGGGCCTTTATATATGATATTCTGTTTTCCTTAAAGTGTTGTCTCAGGACCAGGACTGGTCCACCAGTTGTCGGCTACTAGTCCCAGGCAAGATAAGTACAGATGTTAAAGTAAGTGTTTAGAAACTTTTATAGCAATTTGACATTGCTGCAACATTCAAGTATGTGATCGTTTTTCTAGAAATTCATTTTTAAAGTATATTTTACAAAAGTATTGCTCTATAGCAGATTGGAAATAAACAATGGCCTTTCATCACAGATAATTTCAAGACACTTGTCTAGAATCCTGTTGCCTGCTCTCAATTTTTTTTCCTTTTCTCCCCCAAACACATACACACAACCTCAAAATGGATCCCACTTCTTCAGGCCTTCTGTGATCCATCAGGACTGGGTTAGGTCTTTCCTGCTCTTCCTGTCTTCTGTATTTGCCCCTGTTTAGCATTTATCACTCTGTGCAGTGATTACTTGGTTACCTGTCTGTCTTCTCATCAGATGCGAAGCTCTTTGAGGGGAGACTGTGTGTCTTGCTCATTGTTCTGTCCCCCGCACCTAGCACAGGGTTGGTCTCTGGTAGGCACACTATAAATATTAGTCAAATGTACACATTTCTGGAGTAACTAATGCTGTAGAGTGGGGTTAGGGAAAGTTTTATAGGAGGTGACAGGTGAACTGAATCTGGTGAATGAGAAGAATTGTGCCAGACTAAATAGAAGGGCCGAACATTACAGCAAAGGGAACATGAACAGAACCAGAAAGCTGCTCAGTGAAACTGGGGAAATTCGGTACAGTTAGAGCCTGCCTGGAACTAAATTCTTGTTACTTGACAATTATAAGCCTAAGGATATGGAAGGTAGCTGTAAATGTTTTTTTAAAAATAATTTTCTCGGCCGGGCACAGTGGCTCACACCTGTAATCCCAGCACTTGGGGAGGCTGAGGCGGGTGGATCACCTGAGGTCAGGAGTTTGAGGCCAGCCCTGGTCAACGTAGTGAAACCCCATCTCTACTAAAAATACAAAAATTAGCCGGGTATGGTGGCACATGCCTGTAATCCCAGCTACTAGGGAGCTTGAGGCAGGAGAATCACTTGAACCGGGGAGGTGGAGGTTGCAGTGAGCTGAGATCATGCCTTTGGACTCCAGCCTGGGTGACAGAGCAAGACTCTGTCTCAAAAAAATAAAAATAAAAAATAAATTTCTCTGAGTTTCAGCTAGGACATATTTTATTGAGTTATGACAATGGGAACTATGACTTACCCACAGGATACTTGGCTATAGAACGGGTGGTCGCGTATTTGAGGGAAGGATGCTCAATAAGGTAAATATAGCAGGGGAGTGGAGCCAAAGAAGTCTGAAAAAAATCGAAAACGTCTTTCTTATTATGTAAAAACCGTATGTTTTGTTCTCTTTGCTTCAGCGGGGTCAATAATACCTTCAGTACGTTTTACTTCATCAACTAAGATTGGTAAAACAGCTTTGTGAAACACTTTAAAACCCAATGTTGTTATAGCTTTGAAAACGTACAAATAAATTATACAATATAAAATTCATATAAAATTGAATTATCCAATGTCTTTCCAGGTAAAATGTACATTAAATAGTTCTCCAGAACCATGATCAAAACGCATGAAATAAATGTTCTTTCTGAATGGATGTGGTGATTTTTGTTTCATCACGGGTTACACTAACTATTTAGCTTGGTATTTGTTTCTTAAAACAATCCTGTTTCTCTTCCTGTGGTCCAGCTCTCTACAAATGTTGGGTGATTCCTGTCCTCCTGCTCATCTGCATGAAAACGGAAGACAGGCCTCTTTGTTTGGATAACAAAGTGTCAGCGGTACTGCTTCCAAGTCTGGCAACCAAAGCATTCAGCTCTCTCTTCAACAGGCAACAAAGAATAGCTGTATTATGATCTCCTACCAGGACCACTGCCCAGTTATTGTCCAAAACTTAAGGGAAACAAAACTAATAATCTTTACTGTAGGCTACGTATCAGGCTAAATGCTTTAAATACTTTGTCATTTACGGCTTTGAGTACCCTTATGGGTAAGTGTTGTCATGACACCAATTTTATAAAATGAAGGAGGCAAGGTTTTGGGAAAGGTGCGTTTTGTCTAAGTAAGGGAGGAGACTACCCTCATATCATCTTATGCCTAATTTCTGCCTCCAAAGAAAGAAGAAGTAAAAACTAAAAGGCAGAAATGAAATCCACAGGCAGGCAGCCCGGTGCCGCGCCCTGGGCCTGGTAGTTAAAGATCGACCCCTGACCTAATTGGTTCTGTTATCTGTAGATTACAGACATTGTATAGGAATGCACTGTGAAAATCCCTATCTTGTTTTGTTTTGATCTAATTACCGGTGCATGCAGCTCCCGGTCACGTACCCCCTGCTTGCTCAATCACGACCGTCTCACATGCACCCCCTTAGAGTTGTGAGCCCTTAAAGGGACAGGAATTGCTCACTCGGGGAGCTCGGCTCTTGAGACAGGAGTCCTGCCGGTGCCCCCGGCGGAATAAACCCCTTCCTTCTGTAACTCCGTGTCTGAGGAGTTTTGTCTGCCAAGTTTTGTCTGCCGCTGGTCCTGCTACATGAGGTTAGTGAAGGAGAAAGTGAGGATCTGAGCACAGGCCACACTCTTTCCTCTCGATC